GGGAATATGATGTGCCCAGTGCAGTGTCCAGACACAGTGTGACATTGTTTGAAGTGGGAAGCTCATTGTGACTAGATACTGCCTGCGTGGGAGGAGTTGGCAGAAGAGATGAGACTATGGAAGTAGATCGGGGCCTGATTATAGAGGACTGACACATTTAAATTCATCCTGTAGACAACAGACGAGCCACTGGAGTTTTTTGAGCCAGAGAGCAATAAGATTATTATTATTTTCTTTCATTTTTATCATGATTTGACCCAAAGCTTGGTAGGATAGAATTACAACAAAGGAAATACTGTACAACGTGACTAGAAGTGACTAATTTAAAATCCTGTAGGAGCCAACCTGACATCAAGTGTCTCTTACTGGGCCAGTTCACAGCCTGTCTCTATCTGAATATTAGATTTATGTCTTAGAAATTCTGATGGCCATATGGAGAATGGACTGCAGCGGGGAGAGACTAGTCCTAGGGAAATGAATGGGAGGTAAGAAGTATGCAGCAGTAATATAAACTTAGCACATGATCCAGCAATCCCACTTGTAGCTATTTACCCAAGAAAAGTAATATATGTTCACACAAATACCTGTACATGAAGGTTTATAGCAGCTTTGTTCATAATCATCAAACATTGGAAGCAACCCAAATGTCCATGAACTGTTGAATGGATAAACAAGTTGTGGTATATCCATAACATGGAATAAAAGGAATGAAGTACACTATTGAAACACAGTTACATAGATAAATCTCAAAAGCACAATGCTAAGTGAAAGAAGCCTCTCTTAAAGGCTAATACTGTATGATTTCATTTATTTGACTTTCTGGAAAAGGCAGAGATCAGATTAACGATTGCTGCTGGGATGGGGAGTGAGAATTGACTCTAAGGGGCGTGGGGAGTGTCTATGATAGAATTGTTCTATATCTTAATTGTGGTGGTTGTTAAACAACTATATACATTTGTCTAAACTCATCAAACTACAATTTAAAAGGGTGAATTTTGTATGTAAATTATACAGTAATTTTATTATCTCAATAAACTTGTCTTAAGACAAGAAACAGTGATAGGTGGATGAATCTCAGAAATGCTAAATGAAAGAAGCCAGACTCAAGAGAGTATATACTCTATGCTCCCATTTATATGACACTCTAGAATGGACAAAATGAATCTATGGTGAAAGAAATAAGAATAGTGATTATCCGGGGGTGTGATGAGGGAAAGCAGGGTATTTACCGGGAAGGGGCATGGGGGATCTTTCTGGGGTAATGGAAATGTTTTTTGTGGGTTGATATGATGTGGATTACATGAATGTATCCAATTGTCATGCCTCATCAAATTGTACGCTTAAGATCTGTCCTTTTTATTATATATGAATTATATCTCAAAAGGGAATATAGAAGACTGGATTAAAGTGAAATAGAGAAGAGATCTGGTAATGTGTAGGATTTGGGAGGTGATGAAGAGAGTGTTTCTGGCTTTGGAGACTGGCGGATGGGGTGACCATTTTCCAAGGTGAAGAATAATGGGAAGCCAAACAGGTTTGGGGGAAAGATAACAAGTTATGTTCTGTTGAGGTTGAGTACTCGTGGGATATCCTAGTGAAGTTGTCTAGAAGGCGATTGGAGTTATGGATTTGGTGTCCAGGAGACACTTGACTAAAGATATAGATTTGAATGTCATCATCATAATATTAATTGCAGCCATGAGAATACATGAGATCACCCAAGAAGAGAAGTAGAATTGAGAAGGAAAGAGCCCTGAGGATGCCACCCTGAGCAAACCTACCAGTGAATAGCTGGGCGGAAGAGAAGGAATGAAAGGAGGAGGAGAATCAGAAGAGAGCATTGTCCTGGAACCAAGGGAGAAGAAAGTTCCAATAAGTAAGGGGCGGTCAACAGTTTCAGATGTTTGGGCTCTGCAGTAAGGTGGCCTTCGGTGATCACAGTGAGAACAGTCACTGACTTAGAGAATGGGAGCAGAAGCAAATTCTTAGGGGTTGGGGAATGAAGATTAAGGCAGCTAAGTGTAGATTGCTTTTCAGGAAGCTGCATCCAAGAAATAGGGAGATAAGGGTACCGAGGGTAAAGTAGAGGTGGAGCGAGGCTTCTTCTCCCTTAGTCACTAGAATATTTTCAAGTTTGTTTTGATTTGGCTGGGGGCTGAAGGAAATACAGCTCAAGAAAGAAAATTTTCCTAAGCAAACGTTGTTGAACAAGGTGGTAGCAACAGTCCTTTGAAAATACTTGCTCTTCTATCAGGATGAGGACAACACAGAGGAAGAAAGAAAGTAGCCCTCAGAATGGGAAAGACCTAGCTTGCCTGCACCCTGTAATGACAGGAACACTGCTCTATCTCATCCTGGATACTGAGTTTTTGAAATTCTAGAATTTCACATTTCTGCTGCCAAAACACACAACATTAAAGGTGAAGTTTAATATTCTCAGCACAACCTACTTTTTACCTCTTAAAATCTTGAATGTCCATGGAAAAGACCAGTCATGAGTTAAAAGGGTCGTTATAAGGACTTTTGTAGCCTGCCAAGGGCCCAAATTGTTTTTCTTAAGGTGAGTTGATTATTTTAAGAGATAAACCTGATACAAATGCTGTTTTTTCATACCATTTACCATTGCCCCCCGCCCCCAACGCCCCCTCCAGTTCTAGCCTCTGAGGGGAGCTGGGCTTTGCACTGGGTTGTAATGCTATCCCAAATGTAGCCCACTTTTAGATGGTAGTAGATCCAAGCCTTGTGCGTGTACAGGTGTAGTCAGAGCCAAAACTGATTTTGAGATGTTTAGTACTGATGGGTTTTATTCACCTGGGTAAAAATTTAGTTGGCACTGCAAAGGGTGTTTTCTCTCTTTGGGTTATTTTTTTTTCTTCCCAGAATGTTTGTTCTCAGCCTTTCAACTGAGATTCTTGGAATTTGCCTCTAAATTTGGGAAATAGTCAAGTAAATGTGTTGGCTGTTTAATGCAAGCTGTTTAAATAATGGAACTCATTGGTTGTCATTCTGATTTTAGTTTGTCTTCGTTTGTGGTTGATGCTGCAAATTTGGTCACCATGTCCATCAAGCATTATTCTTACCCTGTGCCTCATACTATTAATAATAATAATAATGATTATGAATTATTTTTATGAAACATAAAACACACCATTTTATGAAACAGTGGAATCCTATGCTCTTGCTTGTGTAATGTTAACATGGACTTGTAGATTTTGCAATTAAGTTTTTCTTTTTAAATGCCTTTTTTAGTGCTATATCACAAAAGATTTTTTTTTTCAGATTAAAAGGGGAGTATTCTGTGGAATGATTGAAGATTAGGTAAAATATTCAAAAGAATGTACTGGCCATAAAAGTTATGAATTTGTTACCTAAAAGAGATAGGTGAAGGAGCTTTCTTTTATTTACATTTTAAAGTACAGAGAATTGATTTTTGTGTAGTTACATGATAGTAAATCCCTTCTCAGACTCTCTTTTGGTTTGTGATTATTTTTGCAAATTAAATTGAATCCTAAAGAAGTTCTATGGAAGCAAATTTATTCATGACAACTTTTCCTGAGAGAAAAACTTGACTATGATTGTCTAATCAGTGTTGCATAAATAGGAATTTTGGACATGGCAAAGTTACTGAGTATATAGGTATTGACAGATGGTGATTAATAGAGAAGATTAAGGAAATGAAAGGATGTTAAAGAAGTATCAGAGAGAGAAATGATTTCCCCAAGTTCCACAGTGAATAAATGGTAGAGTCATGAGAAGAAGCCAGGTCTCTAGATTCCCCTTCTAGGATTCTTGGTCCTATATCAGACTTCCTGTTCAAAAGACAGTCTTTGGCACCATCTTTCTAGAAACTTACATTTACTTTTCTGTGTTTTTGAGGGGATTGAGAAATGGGAGAATCCTTCTTAAAGTAAAGACATTTGTTTCAAAATGAGTTTCTGGAAGATACCTGGTTGTGTTTTGTAGGTGTGAGCTGTGGCCTGTGACCTCTGGTTGAACTGTAAGGAAGCTCGTCTTTTCTCTTGGAAAGAAGATGTAGACAGTTTATTTGAGGGACACGGAGTGGGAAATTTGAGAATGAGTGGGACTTCTGAAAGTCAGATATATTTGATTTATGTATACCAAAGAGGACTGTGGAGAGGGTCTCATTAATGATAAGAGTAACGGTTGCCAGCTGAGGTTCCAAAGTTAGTGTCATATTATCCTTGCATCCTGGGACAGAAGCCTGCTCATGTTCTTGGTTTGCTCTTTGCAACAGTTGAAGAGTTAGGGAAGAGAATCAGTAAAGAATCCAGAAACCATAGAAATTTGGTCTCTGGCTCCTTCCCCTTTTCAGTGATACCAGTGGTGCAGGATGGCTTGTCACAGTCCTGCTCTGTCTGCCATAGGCTCCCTCCTTTCTCTTCTGTCTTTCTGTGTTGGGCCATTGTACTTTACATTCTGTCTTCAAAGGGAAATTGAAACCATAGGAGAGGGGAAGAATACATGTATTTTACACTTCGATATCTTCTTGACCTAGGCTGCAAAAGCAAGATCTTGGTTTAGGAAAATGCAATGGAAGGGCCTCAGGGAGATACCTTCAGGAGATTTTTCTGTTTTCAGAATATGGTGGGACAATCCAGAACAAACTCAAAGCAGCTTTGATGTTGGATGCACTTGTTGCATTCCCATTCCCAACATTTTTTTTTTTTTTTACCCATATGCACAGAAGAATCATGCTTGCTAACTTTTAGAGGTCATGTCACTTTCTGTGTAGAACCCAGGAATGTCAATAGACTGGATGATAAAAACTGGAATTTTATAAATATTGTTATCTCATTATCTCTAGAGCTTGATTAATTTCTCTTGAACTTGAAAGATTCTCTGCTTCTACTTCCACTCATTACTTATACTCACCAAATTTCTAAGCCTCTAGTGGGAGTTGATTGGATTCAGTCTTCCAGATTTTTGTTCAGTTGTACGTAGAAAATGATCTTGTGTATTGTGTTATGTTGTATTTCTAGAACTCTATGGCTTTGATGTGCTCATAGATTCTACTCTGAAGCCATGGTTGTTGGAAGTAAATCTCTCCCCTTCTTTGGCCTGGTAAGTAGTCTGTTCCATCAACTAGAAAAGGACAAACCTTCGATGAGTAGCACTAAAACACTTTTTTTAAAAGTCATTTCTCTTGGCACTACATTTTTTACCCTAGTTATATTAGATAGAAATGACTAGAATTTCTAAATTTGAGGAATTTGTGACATGCGGTTAACCTCCAGATGGTAACCACGAGTCCCTATCTTACTAGTCAATTTGTGATCTCTAACTGTCTTCTTAAGCTTCTAAGGGATGCTTCTTGTGTTCATTTTTATTTCCAGTTCTCTCTCTTTTTTTTAACTTTGTAGGTGTTCTGCTAAGGCTAAAGAAATACATGAGGTATTATATTTCCTTTATTACTAAAGGTTTATACAGGCTCAAATCCACATATACTGTAAAGGTTTAGAGCTGGGCCTAGGGTAGTATATATAATATTTGGTCCTTTTACCCTTTCTATGTTCTGGTCTCCATCTAAGATTAGAGTCTAAAAACTTCAAACAATCTTAAATTTTTTTTTAACCTATCTGTTGTTTAGAAGAATGAAAGAAACATATTTTTCAATACCAGAGAGGATTGTGCTTATATCTGCAGCTGTAGCCAGAGTTTCTATTAGCCATATACTTCTCTAAATAGCTAGAGAACCCTAGAGATTTATGCTAGAGACCACCCAGCAGCTGCATTTTTAAGGATGAAAAATGTTGGCAAAATGCCAAGTAATCAAATAAAGACAGATTGACTACTTCATGGGGTGGGAGTTTGGCTTAACCCCAATAGTAAGGTATAGAGCTAGATATCACAGAGATGCCTCAGATGTTGGGCCACTCTTTTGTTAAGTAAGCTCTTTGCAGATTGCCCAGCCAGGTGCATCATAGGATGTTAGAGATCCCCAGAATGATGCATTGGTCCAGTAGCCAAAGGAATCTGGTTCATGGAGGAACACCTCAGCATCAAAGCCAACATGGCAGTCACTGCCACAGGGAGGCTTCCAGCTTTCAGTTCATGTTTTTGTTTCCATGTGGGTTCCTGCTGCATCATCTGGTGATATTTTGGTATAACTTGTATTTTTTTTGCCCTCGTTTGCAAGCCTAAAAGCTTAAGAAGATTGATTTAGAACAGAAAATGAAGCCTTAAAAAAAGTACAAAGATGACCAGGGTTTCTTCTCTTGCGTGTGAATGTGATTTGACTATTGTAGCAGTAAAAAATAATCTGAATGATGGACACACTCATGAAGGAGCATATTAAAAGTCTAAACCTCTAAAATCCGCAGGGATAATGAAGCAGTATTCTTGACTTGTACACAGTTTGAATTGCACAAGACCTTTTGGAATAAAAAGATTGCATGTCAGGGAATCAACTTTGGTGCTGGACCTGCCCTACAGAGGATGAGTTTAACAGTGGGCTTTTATTTCTAGTATTTTTGCCCAGATTTCTTTTTCTTTTTCCATGGGTTTGATGTGCTTTATGTGTTGCTTCTCATCGACATTTGGAAGCTCTGCTATATTGAGGCCCATTAGGGGTAGCTATTCTGTTAATCTATAACATTATCGATTGGCCTTTCTTTCTCTTTTCTATTAGTGATGCACCTCTGGACCTAAAGATTAAAGCCAGTATGATTTCAGATATGTTCACTGTTGTAGGTGAGTAGTAGTGTTTTCTGAAGACTCACATAAAAGTTAACCAGAGCATCCATTTTGTCAGGCTCTCTAGGTGTTGCCAACTGGCAGTTCTTAAGCCATGCTGAATGTTTTGTACTGAAAAATTATATTTTCAGGCAAGTGTTTATATGTTTCTACTCCCCCTGGCTCCATCCTGTCCTCAGGCTGAACCACAACTAGGGCTGAGACCTAATTCCTGGGGCACAGGAATTATGAGCCGAGGAAGAGAATTAAGCAAAGGTCTGGAGAAAGTCTATTTTTGAGTTGAGAGAGTGCGCCTGACTGAAGCAGCTTTGTTACAAAGGAGACTGGCTATATTTCTACTAGGCGGTCTCCACTGGTGTCAACATGGCCCCTCCCATAATAGTTATAGCTAAAGGCAGCCTGAGGAAGAAATCCCTTTCTGAGTAGATAAGCCAAAACTTTGAAAAGGAGATGGGAAGTCAGGTGGGTATATTGTGGGTTTGTTGTCGTTTCCTAAGTACTCTAAAAAGGCATGACAAAATATATTTGAAATGAAATAGTACTTGGTGTACCAGCAAATGCTGTAAAACTTAGCCACTCTAGTCTCCCTGGATGGGAGTCTGCTTTTTAGGAAGTGAAATGAGCGCATACCTAACTTCTTAAGCCATAGATAATCTAAGAAGCCCACTTCAAAAGGTGCCAGGACACCACCTTCAGCTGTTCTAGAAGTAGACCTTGTAACAGGACAGAACCCCTTACCTGCTTTTGGGTTCTCCCAGTAAAAACAACATTATTTTCCAGTCACCCTGTAGGAGGCCACTTTAAAATAATTTGTTTTTATAAACAACTGTGTATTTTTAAATGGTGGTTTGCGCTTTTACTCTGAAGTTCATCAAAAATCCACATCTCTTTTTCAATCAGAATCAGCTCCCCAACAAGGAAGGTTGATTTATCTGCATATTTTCCATTCTTGTGCTGTCCAGTTTTGATGGTTTGAAGTTCAAGTGGAGTGTGTGTCTGAGAGCCATGCCTAATCCTCCTGAGGTTGGATCTCTGTAATATTTGTGACCATGAAACTGAGTTTGTATACCTAAAGAAAAGGTACAGCTAAACCTGCTAATTTCTTAGAAAATGGCAGGTTTTAATGTTTGCCGTTCCCCATTCAGGATTTGTGTGCCAGGATCCTGCCCAGAGGGCATCAACCCGGCCAATTTATCCCACCTTTGAGTCTTCCAGGCGAAACCCTTTCCAGAAACCTCAGGTAAGCAAATTCAGCAGCAGGGAGCCCAGCAAGGCTTATTAGAAAGTGGTAGCTGATGTAAATGAGTGAGCTGAAGCACTCTGGATATGACATCATTTAGAACAGGAAAATTATCTGGGGATCATTCCAGACAGGAGGCAGTTATATTCAGCTATGGCTAATAGCGTATGCTTTCGATGCTTTCAAACTAACTTACTGTCTGCTTTTTGTTTTTCTTTTCTTTGGCCTTCTTTTTTCATTATCTGTGTCCTTTTTTTCTCTTTAAGAATCACCTGCTTTTTTCCTCAAATTGATATGCTCATAAACAAGGCACAGAGAGGGAGCCTACAAATTCCTAGTCATTACTCTGCTACATTCTTTTTGATCTTCAGGCTAGCTTTGTAAAGAAGATGCTTGATTGAAATACTATCTTCTCTACAAGTGCTCAGTGATCATGAGGTGTTAATTGAGGTTCAGTGAGATAAATGCCTACAGAATCCTGTGCCTGTCTGAAACATCACTTGATCAAGCATTGCTCCGGTCTTTGTGCCCTCTGCATTTGTGTTCCAGTTAAACCAATCAGCTCATCATTCTGCCTGCTCATTCCATCATCTCTCCATCCCTGCCTGTCTAGACCTGGCTAGTTTCCATGTGTGTTCGTTGCCTTTAACATTTCTTCTTATCTAAAAGGTCCACCTTCCTCCTCTCTTCCCATCTGGATTGATGACCTTGCCTGCTCAGAAGTCTGGAGATCGTTTCCTATTAAATCCATCCCATTCTATCATGACCTTTATTTTTTATTTCAGAATGACTTGTTCTCTGGTGCATGGTTTTGGCATTCATCGATTTGTTGCTGTGAAATTGTCCAGTGTTCCTCTGCTAGACTGTAAGCTCTTTGAAGGCAGAAATAGCCCCTTCTTCCCCCTGCCTCCCCTTTCCCTTTCTTCTGCCCTCCATTGGTTCCTTCTCCACTTCTCCCTTCTCCTGCCACCGCTCGTTCTTCTCTTTTCCCTTTAGCTTGCTGGTCTCATTTTGAGTAGTGCTATTTCTGTCTGCCACACTCATCACTCTTCCTCACGCAGCTATACTTCTCACTTGTCAGGTTCTGCAAACTCAAATGCCTAGAGGGCCTGCAGGCAGACAATGGGAATGAGTGAGAGGGCCAGGTACAACACAGCTGAGAGGGACGTGGCTCTGCTAGACTGGAGCCTGTGCCCCATATTAAAAAGGGGGGAGCTGTTTTGCTGATGTGCTCTAACTGATCATTGCCATGCATGAGTGTGGGCCATGTGTTGTCAGACCTTCATACTGTCAAGAGAAATCAGAAGTCTTATTTTAAAATATTGCCAACTGGTCCAATTAAAGAAAAAATGCTTTGCAGACCAAACATAACATGTCTTTGAGCTAGATGCAGTCTGTGACCACCTTCTCTAGGATTATCCCCTGTTAGTTATTAGAGTTACGGTGTGGGACAGGGTGTACTGGATTTTAAGGGGGTATTGTTATCTTGGATTAGAAGGAAAACCAGGCAGCGAAGTTGTTCTTGATCAGTACATCATCACAGATCAATAGGTTTTCTTATTTTTAATAAGAAAAAGCAGAGGATTACCCTAGGTGTACTAGCAAAACTGAATTTAGGCCATCACATTCCTTTGCAGAGAGTTTCCTGCAGTATCTGTGGCAGGAGCCACAGGATTGTGTGTAAAGGATTGTGACTGTTTCTGTGCAGCTTTCACAGAGTTTCTGCCAAGTTTTACTCTAGGGGTTAGATGCGTGTATTCTTGGATGGACTGACCCCTTCTCTTAGCCTGCCTCTCAGGCTTTATTGGCCACTCTTTGCAAATTGTAGAGAATCCATCCGCCATTTGTTTTGCTAACTGGTAGGTCATGGCATGACTTCATCCATAAGCAGCCTACAGGACACTTTTATTTAAAGGGTAAAGAAACTGTAGATTAGTTCTGTGTGCTCTGGAACAAATTTATCAGATGGAGTAGTTGACTTCAGGATGCGACAGCAGGATTGTGCGCTCCTGCTGAGAAGATGAAACTGGGTAGATACGCCATAGGAGAAAGTGGTATGAAACATAATAAATGCTCTGGTCTTACAAGCACAAAGTGTAGAGTGCTTGCTTTTGTTTTCTGCTTGGAGATTTTGTTTTCTCCTTTGTGAAATCATAGACGTAGGAGTTGGAAAACCTCGGTATGGTAGGAGAAGATAAGGCTTTATTCCATTTTTCTGTCTTTTGTAGCGTCCAGTGTCTGCACAGTGTCACTCCTCAGATGCCAAACTGGTAAGTTCTGGATCATTTGGAGACTTCATTCAGATTCTTATTTCCAGTCCCCAAATTGGAAGCCTTTTAGCTTTGTTCTTTCACAGCCCGTGTTTGATGCACCTGCTTTTTGAACTTTATTAACATAGAGTAAGTGAAAATGAATGCACAGAGGTCTTTCCACATACAGAATGCAAGAGTAGAGGCTGCAGGAATTTATGAGTTCTCTTTTCCTGATAGTGATCGTGCTGCAAAGGAGGCGGTTGGATTTAAATGACGAACGGGATTTAGAGACATATCTATCGCTTTGACCAGAATATTCCAGGAAGGAAATAGAGTTCACAGACACCCTTACTTTTCTTCAGATGTCTTATGAAAGATACTATTGTCAGTGGCTTCATATTGGAAACATTTTCACATTGGGTATTGGGCTGCATTTGATGGTACACATTTTTTATATGTAGTGATTTGCAGTTTTATAAGTTAGAACCTCTGGCATAATAAGTGTCTGAGATGCTGCCTTTAAAAATAACTGTCCTTGTTAGCCGTATTTGAGATTAACTTTCATTTTCTTCTATGAAGATCTTTGTTTTGTTTTGAACATCTTGTTGAAGTGATTGGGTAGCAGTGAGGATGACTGCTAGTTGAGGCTTTGAAATGATGCTGTAGATGTTTGAGGCCTAAGTGTGCCCCTGCAACTGGTAGTTCTTCGACAAGAAGCTCCAGGATATTTATTTTGGCCTTGGTACTCTCTGATCCAGTTGCCGGACAGCTTGGGAGCTTGAATTGTAACTCTCACAGCTACTGTTTTTGACAAGGTACTTTGCCTGGTTTATATGAGTCCAAGAAATGAAAAAAAGGTTTACTGGTTGTCTAGTGTTTGGTAACTGGTTAATGCGATTCCATAATACAAGTCTTGGTGTTTAGTTAGAAGAATTTGAAACTCTGTAATGTTTAGTGTTTTATAAGTTTAGCAGGTACCTAGGTATGCTAGCTGCTCTCTGTGGCAAATAAACAGAAAACAAAACTAACCAAAAAACAACCACAAAAAAAGCCCCAAAGCTGTTGACTTCAAAGAGCTTACATTCTGCATACCTTTTAGGGCTGTCTACTCTTACTTCAGGAGAACTTTAAAAATGCTTAATTCATGGTCTTCTGAATTTGATTCCAAAGAAGTGTCTTTGATAGGTAATTCTAATCTTAATTTCCCTTCTCTTACATCTGTCTAGCTCCGTTGGCTTGAATGGCCGTAGGTTGCAATAGCCTGTGGCGGAGCAAGGCCTCTCCCTCATGGTTGTGTATTTGAACACTGCTCATGTGACACAAAGCCTTTCTCGCTTTATTTAGCCAACTTTATACGTGTAGAATTCTTTGACTCTTCTTGTTCTTTGCAGTGTTCTACTCTGTCACCGTCTTTCTGTTAATGAAGCGTTCTCAACTCCGTGGTGGTTTTGTCAGAGCTGAGTTAAAAACGAAAACAAGTTCTCTGCTCTGGCCATGGACACTTTGTCAAGTTTACTTCTGTTGCTGTCAGATCGTGCAGGCCTGTTGTCTGACTATTCCTTCATAATCCATTGTCTCTTTCTACATTTCTTCCTCCCCTTGAATGTCTGCGGTTCAGATTTCTCACTCATCCAGAAATCATTTTGCGGGGTTCCAAGGCAGATGGCATGGTTTTGTGGAAAGCACACGGACTTTAGACTCAAATAGCCCCGGGTTCAAATTTGCTCTGCCAGTAACTGACTAGCTGTTAGACTTTGGGCAAATTCCCTTACGTCTCTGAGGCTCACTACGCACGTCTGTCAAATGCAGATAGATAATAATACCTACATGGAGGTATGGTGGGAAAGAAACGATAAAGCATGGGTAAATATTTGGGATCGTTCTGGACACATGGTTTACCTTGGACACATAGTCCCCTTCACACTTTGGAGTCCTGTTGATTTTCCTTTTACCCATTTGATAGCCAGTATTGGGAGTTATTTCGATATTCTTATCTGTAGCCATTCTTTTCACATTTGCTGTCATCTACAAATGCAAATTAATTACTTTATTATCTTTTTATTTATCCGTCCTCCCAGACATCAGTGAAGATTCTAAGTAATGCTCAATCAATACCCATTCTGAAAATCACTTCCTAACTTGATTCACTGCTATTTATCCTACATTACATCTTTTAACTCTTTTCAGTTTTTGTTGATGTGTTTTATTCACTATGTTATGACACTAAGCCCCAATTAGAAATATAATTTAGAATAAAAATTTTATGAAATTTGTATAAATGTTTTTGTAAAACCCAAAGACATTAAATGTATTTATATGCTTTATTCCCCCTTTTTTGTAATTTTGTCCTAAAAATAAACATTTTAAAGCATGTTTTAAAATAAATGAAGCAGTCTCCATACTTACTCTTCATGAGCTCATTAAACTCTAAATGTTTACGGAATTTTTTTTCTTTTAATATTCTTTTAAAATTTGTTCCATTATTTTACTAGGGATTCAAGTTAGACTTACCAGGCGGTAATCACCAGAAGCACACTTCTTACATTTTTGAAGATTGGTACCTCATTTGTTTTTTTCTAATCCTCTGGTACCTCCTCAGTTCTTCATGATTTTTCAAACATGATTGTAAGTGGTTTTGGTAAGTTTTTTGTTTTGTTTTGTTTTTTAAAGCCAGTTCCCTTAATAACAAGATGCATGTCTCTCAGACCTGCTGACTTATATTTATTCCAGATTTCCAGATGTTGCATA